GTGGATGAGAGAAAAAATTCTTGAAAGAGTGGTTGTGATAGTTTTTTAGCACATAAACTGGTCCCCACAGAACATGATACTAGTGAAGCGTGAATTACAAAGCATGACTCAAAAAAGAACTCTGATGTTGCAATAAGAGTATCAGGCTTAGAAAACAAAGCAAACACAGCGTATCCATTTTACTAAACTGTCCTGTTTTCTCAAATATTTTATGCACATCAGTTCAATACTGAAACAGGTTAAAGGCGGTGGATCGGCAAAAATTAGGGCCTAAAAACGCTTCCGTTTCCGCCGTTCTCAAGCTCTTTAAAGTGGATTTTTAAGATCAGCGCGTTGGAGAACCACAAATAAACGATTTGCCGAGCCACTGCCTTTAAGTTTCACATGCAGCTAAAAAGTGAATTTGCTGCTGACTCAAAAATCATTTTCTTAGCAACTTACGCTGGTGAGGAAACCGGAGAAGCGGCCACGTCAACTTTAAGCACTAATACTTCTGCAGGTTTGCACATGAGACACTAATGCGGTTACACTCACTTTAAATGCTGTCCAGGTACAACTAGTTCACTCGGAATTTTCGAATATGGTATCGAACTCGAAGGCTCTCAAAATGGTAAGAAGACCAGTTGAGGCTGCTTTGGGGTGGTCAACACTGTTTAGATATCGTAACTGCGGTGGCTTTACCACCTGTCTTATTACACATTCGCCGACGAAGAAGTTAGTGTGCTTGCATTTTATAGAAGTACATCTGGTCCTTTCCAATATTCCTCGTCTTCTTTAGGTGAACCGCTCAAAAATACTGGTAGCGTCAGTTACAAGTACCCAGCTAGAAAGAAAATCAAGTTAGTTGACTTAATATTTGTAAGCTTTTGAGTCTTGGTTTTTAGGAGTTTCAAGGCGCTAAAAAACTTTGCGGTAGTCACAACAATAGATATTTCAATGATCTAAAACTTGAATTCGGTACCAAAGACCAAACTGTCATAAAATAGGCATTTGAGTTTGTAAAAAGAAGGCAGCATGCTTTTGAAGTAAGCGCAAATTAGATTCGTGAAAAAAAA